TTGGGGTTGAGTGTTTAGGGTTTAGGGTTTAGGGTTTAGGGTTTAAAGTTTAGGGCTTAGGGTTTAGGGGTCTACAGAATCCCAAACACCCAGAGCTTCCTGAAGCCTAAACCTGGATACCCTAACCCGCCACCCCCATCCCTATGAAAAAATACACCCTCAGAGCAAGAAGTCCTAAAAGGCCATGAACGAGAGACCCGACGATTTCGGCTCCCTGAAACCCTTAGCCCTAAACCCTAAACACTCTAAGCCCTAAGCCCTAAACCCTAAACACCCTAAGCCCTAAACCCTAGACACCCTCAGCCCTATACCCTAAACCCCAGACCCTAAACCGGCTCCCTGAGTTATTGAGCTAGGAGGACCCCGTGCAGGTCGTTGAGGTACTGGATATTCCGCTCGTGTCGGTAGAGGATGAACCTGAATGCAGGGCTGCTAGGGGGTGCTGGGGTCTAGGGCTTCATATTAAGGTTTGGGCTGGCGGGTGCTAGGGATTAGGGCTTCATATTGAGGTTTAGGGTTTAGGGTGCTAGAATTTAGGGCTTAATATAGGGCTACCATTAGGATCACGATTGCGGTTACGACATGGTCAGCATCCGGTTACTCTTCCATTCCGCCACAATTTAGGTTCATGTGGGTTCAGGTAGAGTTTGGGACATGAGTAAAACCCTAAACCCTAAACCCTAAGCCTCCTAAACCCTAAAGAACCGACAGATTCTCCCGGGGTCACGTCGAGCCAAGGCACAGTGCGGTCCCGAAGCCCAGTAGGCAGAAATCTCCTGGGCCCAAAGGTCACCGGCACGAGATCGCACCAACATTCAAGGCTCACATGGGAGTTTCAATCAAGAAAAGGGTCCCAAAGTCTTAGGGATGCTTGTAAGCAGACTCTGCTTATTTGACTTCTATATTTGGGCTGCCGAGTTTCCCGAAACTTTCAAACGAAGTTGCCTGTTGGTTTGCTTGTCGAAAACGGATTTCTGTTCAGAATCATGCTTGGACCCACCAGAACTGCTTCCGGGCGTCGCAGGGCTGTCACCTCCGCCTGCCGCAGGAGCACCCGCACCTGCATCATGCTCCGCGCGAGCGCCACCTGCTGGCAAAGTCTGCGCCCATTCGGTTCCCATGCCCGGACTCCCGGCTTTTCGGGCGTTTCTGGGTGCTTTGTATTCTGTACATCCGAAACTCTGCCACAAAAGCGGTTGCCGGAGCTTGCTGTCTGTACATGCCCTGTCTCGGCAAAGGACGGAAAAGCACCACCTGCACAACTGTCGTGCGCAGCTCAAAGTTGCATATCTTTGCTCAAAAGGTTGATTCAAACCTGTGGTTTTAGCATCACAGCTTCGCGACCAGTCTCTT